CTGGAGCTCCTGATTCCCTCTGGAGCTGCTCTGGAGCTCCTGGTTCCTCTCTGGAGTTCCTGGTTCCTCTGGAGCTCTTCTGAAGCTCCGGGCTCATCCCTGGAGCTGCTGGTTCCCTTCTGGAGCTCCTGGTTCTCTCTGGAGCTGCTCTGGAGTTCCTGGTTCCTCTTTGGAGCTCCTGGCTCATCCCGGGAGATACTGGTTCCCCTCTGGAGCTGCTGGTTCCCCTCTGGAGCTGCTCTAGAGCTCCTGGTTCATCCCAGGAGTTCCTGGCTCATCTCAGGAGCTCCTAGTTCATCCCTGGAGCTCCTGGTTCCTCTGAATCTCTTCTGAAGCTCTGGGTTCGTCCCTGGAGCTCCTCGTTCCCTCTGGAGCTGCTCTGGAGCTCCTGCTTCCTTTCTGGAGTTCCTGGCTCATCCCGGGAGCTCCTGGTTCCTCTGGAGCTCCTCTGGAGCTCCTGGCTCATCCCAGGAGTTCCTGGTTCCCCTCTGGAGCTGCTCTGGAGCTCCTGGCTCATCTCTGGAGCTGCTGGTTCCCTCTGGAACTCCTGGTTCCTCTGTAGAGCTGCTCTGGAGCTCCTAGTTCATCCCAGGAGTTCCTGGTTCCTCTCTGGAGCTCCTGGTTCCTCTGGAGCTCTTCTGAAGCTCTGGGCTCATCCCTGGAGCTGCTGGTTCCCTTCTGGAGCTCCTGGTTCCTCCCTGGAGCTACTCAGGAGCTGCTGGCTCATCCCAGGAGCTCCTGGTTTCTCTGGAGCTGCTCTGGAGTTCCTGGCTCATCCCCGGAGCTCCTGGTTCCCTCTGGAGCTGCTCTGGAGCTCCTGGCTCATCCCAGAATCCCCTGGCTTGTCCAGGATCCCTGAGATTGCCCCTGGATCCCCTCTGGAACTCCTGGCTCCTCCCAGAATCCCCTGGCCTGTCAGGATCTCTGGGATTGCCTCTGGATTATCCCTGGTGTGTCCAGGATTTCTGAGATCACCCCTGGATCCCCTGTGGATCTCCTGGCTTGTCCAGGATCTCCTGGATTGTCCAGGATCCCCTGACTCCTCCCAGAATCCCCTGGCTTGTCCAGGATCCCCTGGATTGCCCCTGGAGCTCCTGGCTCCTCCTGGGATCTCCTGGATCCCCTTTGCCCCCCCTGGCATGTCCAGGATCTCTAGGATTGCCCCTGGATCCCCTCTGGAGCTGCTGGCTTGTCCAGGATCTCCTGGATTGCTCCTGGAGTTTCTGGCTTGTCCAGGATCCCCTGGATTGTCCCTGGACCTCCTGGATCATCCCTGGATCTCCTGGCTTGTCTGGGATCCCTGGGATTGCCCCTGGATCCCCTCTGGCCCTCCTGGTGTGTCCAGGATCTCCAGGATTGCCCTTGGATCCCCTCTGGAGCTCCTGGCTCCTCCCAGAATCCCCTGGTTTGTCCAGGATCCCTGGGATTGACCCTGGATCCCCTCTGGAGCTGCTGGCTTGTCCACGATCTCCTGGATTGACCCTGGAATTTCTGGCTTGTCCAGGATCTCCTGGATCCTCCCAGGATCTCCTGGCTTGTCCAGGATCTCCAGGATTGTTCCTGGAGCTCCTGGATCATCCCTGGAGCTCCTGGCTCATTCAGGATCTCCTGGATCCCCTCTGGAGCTCCTGGCTCCTCCCAGAATCCCCTAGATTGTCCAGAATCCCCGGGATCGGCCCTGGATCCCCTCTGTCCCCTTTGGCTTGTCCAGGATCTCCTGGATCCCCTCTGGAGCTCCTGGATCCTCCTGGGATCTCCTGAATCATCCGTGGAGCCCCTGGCTTGTCCAGGATCTCTAGGATTGTCCCTGGATCCCCTCTGGAGCTCCTGGCTCCTCCCAGAATCCCCTGACACGTCCAGCATCTCTGGGATTGCCCCTGGATCCCCTCTGGATCTCCTGGCTTGTCCAGGATCTCCAGGATTGCCCATGGATCCCCTCTAGATCTCCTGGATCCCCTCTGGATCTCCTGGCTTGTCCAGGATCTCCGGGATTGCCTCTGGCTCCCCTCTGGCCCCCCTGGCTTGTCCAGGATCTCCAGGATTGCCCCTGGATCCCCTCTGGATCTCCTGGCTTGTCCAGGATCTCCAGGATTGCCCCTGGATCCCCTCTGGATCTCCTGGCTTGTCCAGGATCTCCAGGATTGCCCATGGATCCCCTCTGGATCTCCTGACTTGTCCAGGATTCCCTGGATTGCCCATGGATCCCCTCTGGATCTCCTGACTTGTCCAGGATCTCTGGGATTGCCCATGGATCCCATCTGGATCTCCAGGATTGCCTCTGGATCCCCTCTGGATCTCCTGGCATGTCCAGGATCCCCGGGATCGCCCCTGGCTCCCCTCTGGCCCCTCTGGCTCGTCCGGGATCCCCGGGATGAGCCCCAAATCCCTGGAATTCCGTGTCCCTGTCTCCACAGTTCAATTACATGCACGAGTGCTTCGAGCGAGTCTTCTGCGAGCTCAAGTGGCGCAAGGAGGTGAGAGACAATTCCCGATTTTTCCTTGGGATCCGGGAATTCCAGAGGGGGCTGGAGGCCTTAAACAGAGCTCCCCTGGTTGGGAATGTTTGGGAATAATCCTGGGAATGTGGGGGGTGGGGGGGGGAAAGGTGGGATCCAGGGGTGGGACACCGGGTGGGAATGTTGGGGATGATCCCGGGAAAAGGTTGGAGCAGGTGGGAATGTTTGGGAAGAATCCTGGGAAAGAGAATCCTGGGAAAAGCCTGGGGCAACTGGGAATGTTTGGGATAATCTTGGGAAAGGGTTGGGGCCGGTGGGAATGTTTGGGATGATCCCAGGAAAAGGCTGGGACAGCTGGGAATGTTTGGGATAATTGTGG